TATTACATTTTTTTCAGTGTGTGTGTGTGTGTGTGCGTGCCTGTGTGTGTGTGTGTGTGTGTAAGTGTGTATGTGTGTGTGTGTATGTGTGTGTGTATGTGTGTGTGTATGTGTGTGTATGTGTGTGTGTGTAGGTGTAACTTTCATGTGGGTTGGTTTCTGGCCTCTTGATCCTGCCCCAACTGTGTCCTTGTGCCATTTTTCTCAGATAATATGTAGTTCAGCTTGTTCCCCTAGTGAAGAACACTTAGCTATAGGCATTAGATGCCAGACCAGATGTGCCATCGTAGGGCTTTTTAAAATGGGGTTTGGGGATCTAACTCAGGTCCTTATGTTTGTTTAGTGAGGGCTTCACCAGCACTCACTTTACCAGCTGAGCTGCCTCCTCAGCCCCTGGGGAATTTTTCCTGACAGATTAGGGAAGAATAGACCCCTGTGTTCCTGTGGTCTTTTCTGCCTCAAAGCAGGCTGTTTGCGACCTCTGGCAGGCTGATTAAGTGAACAGTGTGGGTGAGCACAGGCTTTCAGTGGTTGAGGATCAATCTGCTGTGGGATGATGGCCACACAAAGGGACCCCGCTCTGCCACGTGGGCCCGAACTCTTCTCAGAGCTCCGCACCATGCTTTCCCATGGCATCAGTAACCCTAACAATAAATCACTCATGCAAAAGGACAGTTTGCCTCGTCGTTGTTCCCCTGAGATGGTTTCAATACAGGGAGTCGGCAGCTGCAGCTTTTCATATCAAAACACCTGTTTGCCCAGGCCAGCCTGGTGTAAGCTCAGTTGCAGAACATCATTGCTCTGTGCCTCTGTCTGCTCTCTATGTGTTCTGGGGAATGCTCTGGAGGTACTAACTCCTTCTGTCCTCCCCAGAAGCTCTTTCAGAGTCTGGTGCCTCCTCCACACACTTCCAGAAGAATCCGTTTCCCACCTCCACAATATGAGCCACCTTTGAGGCCTTGTGTTAGTTACTTCTCTGTTACTGCAATAAAGCACTATGAGCAAAAGCTGCTCCCAGTAGAGAACTCATTTTGACTCATGGTCCCAGGACTAGTCAGTCCATTATGGCAGGGGAGAGATGGCGGCAAACGGCCAGAGCTGGAGGTTGAGCGCTCACATCTTAACTGTTCACAGGAATCCGAGAGCAAGAACTGGAAATGGGGCAAGCCTATCAACCCCCAAAGCCCTGTGACATACTTCCTCCAGCAACTGGGGACCAAGTATTCAAATGCCTGAGCCTGTGGGGGCGCATTTCTCATTCAAAGCCTCCCAGGCCTCCCTGGCAGGGTTCTCAGAAGGTGTGGGGCTCCCTGCATGTGCTGGTCAGGGGTCATCAGGGAAACAGTCAGCAGGATGTACTCCTGTGCCAGGGGATTGATCACAAAGCAGTGACTCAGTGACCGAGGTTGCAAAGTCCCCAGATCTGCAGTAACGAGGCTCGGACCCAGGATTGCTGCTGGCTCAGCTCCAGTCTGAGTCCGAGGACTGAGAACTCAGAGAAACAACTGTATAAAGTCCAATCCAAAAGCCAGCAAAGTAACCACAAAAGCAAGGTATTTCACCTGAGCACAGGGAATGATAGCTCACTGAGGCAGTCCTATTGACCAGTTCCTCAGCTGAGTGCAGGAGGCTCACCTCCATGGGGAAGGTCCACCCATTCAAGCGCTATTTTCATTCACAAACACCCTCTCAGACACATCCAGAATAATATTTGTCCAAGTGTCTGGGAGTACCCCATGGTCCTCTCAAGTTGACATGAAGTAGTCATCACATTGCAGGAGGTGTGCAGCCTGCTCTGCCTGTTGCAAATGCCTGGCACTCACCCAATGGGCAAAGAGCTGGAGTCCAGCTAGGAACTTGAAGCTGATGGCCCCATCTGGGTCTGGGCATTGCGGAGGATTTCACTCTGCCCTGCCACTCCATGACTGCCTGGGTGGCTATGAAGGATGCCTGCTCCATCTCACTCATGGAGATATTATTTTGTGCATGTGGTTTCCATAGCTTAGATAATTTTGGTGGAGGGCTTTCATTTTAAGAAGAGAACAATGTGGGGCCTGAGGCTTGCCTTCCTTGCAAATCATGGAACTGTATTTCCCCCAGAAGGGCTGGTTCAGTCTGTCCTAGTAATAATGGAGGATTCATTGGGGGAACCATTGGTCTTCTCTGGCTTCAAGCTGTGGGTGACCCCTGAGTGCATTCCCTACGCAGCTCCCTTAGCCACAACCCTCATTCTCCTCTCTACTACACTCACCAGAATGGATCTTTTCAGATTCCACAGCTTAAAGATTAAGTGACCTAAGGTGTAGATGGAAGTTTCTGTCCTATCAGCAGCTCCCAAATAAATACACTGAAGCTCATATTAATTACAAATGCTCAGCCAATAGCTCAGGCTTGTTACTAGCTAATTCTTACATTTAAGTTAACCCATATTTCTTATGTGTGCTTTGCCATGTGGCTTGGTACCTTTTCTCAGAATGGCATGCCCATCTTGCTTCTCTCTGCATCTTCTGGTGACTCCCATCTCCACCCTTCTTTCTCCCACCATCCTTAGTCTGGCTGTCCTGCTTATACTTCCTGTTTACCTATTGGCCAATCAGCTTTTTATTAACAATGAGAGCAATCCATATTGACAGTGTATAAATATTGTTCCATAGGGTTAATCACTCATTTATGATACAGTGCCACATTTGGTTGATTCTACACACAGTGACTAGCTTAGGTGCAAGCTTAGGGCTGCATTCTAGGAGTACACAGTGCCCTTCCAGAAAATGCTGTCTAAATCTATATTTCCTGGTGGTTCCACTGCCTTCCCAACTCCACTGTCTGGGAGGGAGGTGCCCCTTTCAACTCAAGGCACAGATACCTACTTTGTACATGGAAATACTGAGGTTGTTACTTTGACACAGTTTCTTGCTAATTCAATTATAGACAGGAAAAATGTTGCAACCTTTACGGGAACAGAAAATCCAGGGAGTGTTGGCATTGGGTGTGGCATCTGCTTTGGCCTTGGGCTGCCATTTGTTATATATGTAGAGGGAGGGGAATGATATCTATGTATCTATGCAGTAAAGGAGGGGAGTATCCATCCTGGGAATTTGAACCTCTGTGAAATGTTCAGAGAAAAGGCACCTTGCAGGTAAAGGTACTTGACACCAAGCCTGGTGACATGAGACCTGGATCCATGTGGTGGAAGGAGAAAACTGGGCTTCCAGCATGTTTTTGTCTGACCTCCACACATGCACTGTGGTACACACACACACACACACACACACACACACACACACACACACACACACACAGGATTTTTTATTTTACTCTTATTTACTTTTAAAATTATATGTATGTGTTTGTGTCTCTGTAAAAGTGTCAGATTCCCTGGAACTGGGGTTCCAGGTAGTTGAGAACTGCTTGACATGGGTGTTAGGAACTGAACTCAGGTCCTCTGAGAATACTGTTCTGAGCCCTTCCCATTCAAACCACCACAGTCCACGCTATGACCCCATAGACTTGCAGCCGTACTGTACTGAAAAATGAATTTAGTTCAACTTCAGAAGTCCCCATAGTCTTTCACAGTTCAACACAGTTTAAAAGTCTAAAGTCTTTTTTGAGACTAAGGCAATCTCTTTACTGCAACCACCTGTAAAATATAACCAACAAGTGTATCAGATGCTTTCAACACACAATGGCAGAGAACATACATTACTATCCCCAAGGGGAAGAAAGGGGAACAGTGAGGAAATATTAGATAAAAGCAAGATGGGAACGAAACACGCCAAAGCCCAGGTCCTGCAGCCCATACCCAATGTCACTGAGCGTAGCTGGCCCTTCCCTCCATCTTTCTCCCTGAAACATACATCCTTCTCATGTTCCCCTCCTCTGTGAAGCTCTCCGTGGCAAATATCCATGGCTCTGGTGTGTCTAACATCTTGGAGTCTCCAGTTTCACAGCTTCATGCAATGGCCTCTCAGGGCTTCTGAAAGCTCTCTCAGGGACTTCCCTACCATACACTGCCTGGCCTCATCAGCGCTCCTGTACCACAGAGGAGGACTCCACAAACCCTTTACTCATGTACCTTTCACGACTCTGAAGCCAGACCATGTGGATGGCAGTTGGAAGTGTGGCTGCCCCCTTGAATCACATTTACTGTATCTTTCCTTTGTTGTTGCTTTTTAGGAGCAGAAAACTCCTTAGTCTTTCCTTGGGAGCTTAGCTGGGTGGGGTCTTGCCCTGAGGACACCCTCCCTTTATTCTATTTTGGATCAGGCCGTTCTTTAATATCCTTATCTCTTTTAGCACAAGCCTTGGTTCCAACATTAAATTTCTATGGTGCTCTTTTTCTTCTCAAACTGTACATTTTGTATTAATTTTTGCTCCACTTGCTCTTTTTCATTGTATATTTGCATACGAGTAAGCACATAAGAAAGTCAATATTCGCCTGTCTTGAAATTGCTCTGCCAGTGAAATTGTCTTAGTTAGGGTTTCTATTGTTGTGAAGAGACACCATGACCATGGCAACTCTTATGAAGGAAAACATTTAATTGAGGTGGCAGCTCACATTTTCAGAGGTTTAGTCAGTTATCATCATGGCTGAGAGCATGGTGGCATGCAGGCAGATGTGGTGCTGGCTACATCTTGATTAGAAGGCAACAGGAAGTGGACTGTGTCACTGGGAGTAGCTTGAGCAAAAAGAGACCTCAAAGCCCGCCCCCACTATGATGCACTTCCTCCAAGAAGGGCACACCTACTTCAACAGGGCCACACCTTCTCACGGTGCCACTGTTAATATTCAGAACCCGCCCTTTGGTGCTATGTGGTTGACACTGTGCCTCAGTTGTACCCATTTTAGAAGTCACAAAAGTGAGGCCAGGAATGTAGCTCACACCCTTGCTCAAGGTCACACTGGGGTGAGGACAAAGTGTGAAGTAAAGTGCAAACAGCTTGAACTCTGTCATTATTATTTTTTCTTCTAGAAAAATACAATCTTCATTTTCGGTAGACAAACCAAGTCCAGAAGATTGTCTCAGAAGGTAGGCGGAACGCTGCTCACTGACTCCTCTTCGGAAGGAATTCATTTCCTCGTGGCTTCTGCCCTGTGGCTTAGCCCTCCAGACGGGAGCTAAGTTCTTACCCAGCAAAAGTGAGTGTCTTTCCTTCTCAGCATCCCAGCACCGACACAGGTGATCTCAAACTTACCACATTCCAGGTTTCTAGAAGTTCAAGGTAACTGTGCAAACTGGAAAACCAGTGGTGCTTCTGTGTGCATTACTTTTCTCCTTGTTATGGCCAAATACCTAATGAGAAATGACTTACGAGAGGGAGGATTTACTTTGCATCATGATCTGAGGCTGTTCTCCTTTGTGGAAGGAATACAGACAGTCCACTGGGAGCAGCTTGTAACCGTGGCAGCAGGAGTGTGGGGTTGCTTGCTCACATCTTGTGGATCAGGAGGCAGAGAGAGGACATGAAGTGGATGGTACCATAAACTCAATGCCCGTCCCTCAGGACTCACTTCTTGTAGCCAGGACCCATCTCATAAAGGGTTCTACAACCTTTCTCAACAGCACCATCAGCTGCAGATCAAGAGCTCAAACACTTGAGCCTGTCAGGAACTCAAATGGTTAAGAGTTGATTTTTTTTTTTTTTTTTTTTTGGGTTTTTCAAGATAGGATTTCTCTGTGTAGCTTTGCACCTTTCCTGGAACTCACTTGGTAGCCCAGGCTAGCCTCAAACTCACAGAGATCCACCTGGCTCTGCCTCACGAGTGCTGGGATTAAAGGCGTGCTCCACCACGGCTGTTGATTTTTGAGCATGCTTAATTAGAGCAAAGAAATCTGTGGCCAGTCCTGTGCTCGCACCCAGAATGCACTGCTTCCAGACCTGTGCTCGCACCCAGAATGCTCTGCTTCTTCCAGACCTGTGCTCATACCCAGAATGCACTGCTTCCAGACCTGTACTCCCACCCAGAATGCACTGCTTCCAGTCCTGTGCTCACATCCAGAATGCACTGCTTCCAGTCCTGTGCTCGCACCCAGAATGCACTGCTTCCAGACCTGTGCTAATACCCAGAATGCAGCTTCCAGACCTGCAGGCTGTCTAGCTACATTGTGTCATTCTTTGTCATGGAGTCATCAGAGGTCAGAGCTGAGGACCTGTTGGGAAATCTGGTCCCATCTACTGAAGGACAAGGAGTCTGAATACTCCATCAGTGAAAAACTGGCAGTTCCCAGTGTGGTACTGAGAGCCAGCATGCCAGGCTGTCCTGTGTACTTCACTGTTGAGGCATGGCCTCCATTTCTGTGTGCCGAAAGATTCCAGAGTTTTCTAAACTGTGGATCTCTTCATCTATCTCATCTACCTGGCACATCAACTCATATTTTTGGAAGTTCATTTTAAAATTGTGTATATACGGGGTTTGATATAATTCAGTGCACATGTATAATGTGTAATGTTTACACTGATTTACAATTCCATTTCCTTAAACATCTGTTTTTCCTTTGTGCTTGGTACTTTTGGGGTAAATGTCAGACATTTCTAGTTTCTATGTATGGGCATTTTGCCTGCATGTTTATCTGTGCACATGCGTGTAGCAGGAATCTTAAAAGTTCTTATTAATAAAATCAAACCCGAGGCCGGTTATTGGGGTGAATACTGGAAGGTCAGAGAGACAGAACAAGCCATAGCTATCTCACCTTGCCAATTCCTCAGCTGGTCTTGTTTCCTCATACTGGAAGCTTCTGTGTCTTCATCCCAATGGCTCTCAGCTGAACTGCTGCTCAAAAGCCTGAATGCTTAACCAGCCAAATGCTTAACCAACCAAAAGCTTCTAGTTTCTGGTCCTCACACCTTATATATCTTTCTGTTTTCTACCACCACTCCCTGGGATTAAAGGCTGGCTTTCTGGGATTAAAGGCGTGTGTCACCATGCTTGGCTATTTCCAATGTGGCCTT